TGCGCTACACTTGCTTTTCTCGCAATAAGGTAATCTTTATACCTCTATTGTGCAACCAATGCTCGTTGCTTCGATATTCTTAAGTCGCGTACAAATGTTCGTTCATTGTAACGTTATCGAGAGAGGTCCTCTTCCCTTTCTCTTTGTGAACGTCTCACTGTCTAATATTTAACCATTTTTCCACATTATAATCTTGATATCTAGAGTTATATTTGGAATAAAATATGCATAGACGGTTCGTCATCAGTTATTTTTTGTTGCTCACATAAGTTATGGCACATTAATTTGGAGAATCATAGACTGGCATGCCAGGAAAAGAACGATCGTAAAGCTATATTAAAATTAAGCAAGGTGGTTACGGTACGATTTGCATATAATCGGAATTAAACCGTGCCACGACGTAAAAGAAGTAGTAACGCAGTAGAACTGGCGCGGCGCCAGCTCCTTCTTATGTTTTTCGCGAGGCTCGCCACTCAAAGGCAACGCGATAAATAATAATTAGGAAGCATTGCTGGAATTTCTTATTTTAATTTCTGTGCGATTATTTCACTGAAACGCATTCGATCCCGAATTGAAAGATTTTAAACTCACCATCTCTGTCTTTACGATAATGAAATGATCATTTAAGAATATACATATAGAAATAATATAAATCATTTGAATAAAATATGTGATATTTTAAATATGTTTGCAGTAAAAAGAGTAACATACTTCATGTGCTCAAACTTAATAAAATACAGATGGCGTACGATTACGTGCTGGATGCAATGCCACCGTCATCCTACAATTATTCCGGCTGTAGCTACGCCTACTGTGTAAATTACCGTCCGGAACTGTCATCCACAAACGTAACTATTGATCCATCGTTAAACGTTTAGCCGTAGGATAAATGCCAACATCTTATGGAACATCGTGTTACGCGAAACACTTATGGTCGATCGAAAATGTCAAGAGTCGCAAGAATTGATTACCAGTTGTCCACTAGCACATCATTTACTTACTGATTAAAGGACAGTGTCTTCTGAATACGTCAATGATAAGAATAAATATACTTTTATAAATTTGCTGATATAATAAAAGATTATTGGCTGTTGTTGAAAATAATTTCGACAGAGGACGGTTATCTGAATAGCAATCTACTCTCAGACATATTTTATTGCATCCTGAAATAAAATAGTAAAGCAAGAGGACGAGAGCCTCGCGCGGTTTGCAAGTCGTCGCCGGGAGCGTAAAAAGAAAATCGGTCGTGTTCGATCGGCTCGATCCGAAAGGTGGGAGGAGGGTTTGGGAGATAAAATCGCGCGAGATCTCGTAAACGTCCCGGTGGCTGGCAAACTTTCCCGTGAAACTTTCCGCGGCAGCAACTATTCCCCGAGGAGGAGAGACACGCTGTTTCCTTCTGGCGTGAACGAGGACCAACCGAGTTAACGTCGTGGAAATGTACGGCGTGGCTTTAATAAATCGCATCCACTGCTGTTCCCGACGACGACGACTTTCGACACAATATCGCAAAACGAAGACTGATAGCCGTGCGCGTCGATTCGAAGCTCGGTTCGCAGGTTTATGTTTGATGGAGTGAACATCGGGATCGTGAATGTTATTACCAAGGAAAATGAACGAGGTGATAACGGAATTTGTGTTTCTGTTAGAGGGCCCTCTCTAATATAATCTGAAATTCTCTTTCCACGAATTTCCGTAGTTATACTTCCCCGCGATCGATGCTAATTCCTTTACAACTGCTTTAATGCAAATTCGACAAGCGTCGCTTTTATCTCATTTAAAAGATTGTCAAATTAATAAACAAATATAATATAAATACAAGAAATCTCCAGTCTAAACATAAATATTTTTAATTATTATTCCGTCTTTTTATTTTTCTTCAATTAGTCTTCTATGATTCGTAATTTTCCGAATTAGAAATGTTTTTAAAGAACGAGCTTCGCAGACTTCTGCCAAACGAGTTTTTGTAGCAAGACCGGAAGAATGGAATACACGCCGTTCTATTCAAATTCGAAAAATAAACACCAGCTCGTTCGCTTTCTGATTCCGATTTCCCAGCATTTACTGACTTCCGGTTAAACAGCGTTCAACAAGATGGAAAGACGCCATTCAGGAATACACACAATACTTGCAATCGTGACAACCATGCCGGTTGCTGTTTAATCGCGAATCGACTTCGGTTTCCCTAACGGACAGCTTTCGCGATTGAACTCTGCTCTCTCTATTCTTTGACTCCGCGTCACTTGGATTCGCAGAACAAAAGAGATCAGTACGATAATCGAAACTCAATCCTCTATCTCCTGAGCTCAAGTGACGATTTCCTACTTTTAATTAAATACCTAAATTTAGTGCAGAATCTACTCTGTCTTTTATACTTTTCTGATACATCCCGTAACCTAAAGGAAACTTTCTTGTATTTGCTGTACATGCGCGTAGTTGGAAGAAAAAACTGACTTCAGGAAATACGAGCCCTAAAAATCTGGAATTTTTTACGCCTTTTAGAATATATTTCGATATTTTTCGATATTTCGACAAAAAAAAATTTTTCAATTTTTTTGAGATTTTTCCAAGGGGT